CCTCCCCAATGCCCAAATCCTCCACAACTCCTCCTTTTTCCTTTGTAGATTCCTCCCCAAGGCCCAAATCCTCCCCAACTCTTCCTCAACTCCCTCATTTTCCTTTTGTAGAATCACCCGCAATTCCCAAATCATCCCTCTTCATTTTTCCTTTGTTGAATCCTCCGCAATTCCCAAATCCTCCCCAACTCCTCCTTTTTTCCTTTGTAGAATCCTCCCCAATCACCAAATCCTCTCCAACACATTTTTTCCTTTGTAGAATCCTCCCCCAATTCCCAAATCCTCCCCAACTCCTCCTTTTTCCTTTGTAGAATCCTCCCCCAATTCCCAAATCCTCCCCGACTCCTCCTTTTCATTTCTTTGTGGAACCCTCCTCAATTCCCAAGTCCTGCCCAACTCCTATTTTTTTCCTTTGTAGAACCCCACCGAATTCCAAAATCCTCCCCAACTCATCCTTTTTCGTTTGTAGAATCGTCCCCAATGTCCAAAATCCTACCCAACTCTTATTTTTTTCCCCTTTTGTAGAATCCTCCCAAATTCCCAAATCCTCCCCAACTCATCCTTTTTCCTTTGTAGAATCCCCCCCAATTCCCAAATCCTCCCCACAACATTTTTTTCCTTTGTAGAATCCTCCCCAATTCCCAAATCCTCCCCAATTCGTCCTTTTTCCTTTTTTGTAGAATCCTCAGCAAATTCCAAATCCTCCCCAACTCCTCCTTGCTCCTTTGTAGAATCCTCCCCAATTCCAAAATCCTCCCCAACTCTTCCTTTTTCCTTTGTAGAATCCGCCCAAATTCCCAAATCCTCCCCAACACACCCTTTTTCCGTTGTGGAATCCCTCCCGATTCCCGAATCCTCCCCAAACTCCTCCTTTCTCCTTTGTAGAATCCTCCTCAGTTCCCAAACTCTCCCCAACTATTCCTTTATTCCTTTGTAGAATCCTCCTCAATTCCCGAATCCTCCCCAACTCCTCCTTTTTCCTTTGTAGAATCCTCCCCAATTCCCAAATCCCCCCCAACTCCTATTTTTTCCTTTGTAGAACCCTCCCCAATTCCCAGATCATCCCCACCTCCTCCTTTTTCCTTTGTAGAATCTTCACCAATTCCCAGATCCTCCCCAACTCCCTCTTTTTCATTCGTAGGATCCTCCCCAATTCCCAAATCCTCCCCAACTCGTTTTTTTTTTCCGTTGTAGAATCCCCCCCCAAATACTCAGATCCTCCCCAACTCTTCCTTTTTCCTTTTGTAGAATCCTCCCCAATTCCCAAATCCTTCCCAACTCCTCCTTTTTCATTTGTAGAACCCTCACCAATTCCCAAATCCTCACCAACTCCGTCTTTTTCCTTTGTAGAACCCTCCCCACTTCCCAAATCCCCCCCAGCTCCTCCTCTTTCCTTTGTAGAATCCGTTTCAATTCCCAAATCATCCTCAACTCTTCTTTTTCATGTGTAGAATCCTCCCCAATTCCCAAATTCTCCCCAACTATTTATTTTCCTGTTGTAGAATCCTCACCAATTCCCAAATCCTCCCCAACACACTTTTTTTCCTTTGTGGAATCCTCCCCAATTCCCAAATCCCCCCCCAACTCCGTCGTTTTCCTGTGTAGAATCCTCCCCAATTCCCAAATCCTCCCTAACTCATCCTTTTTCCTGTTTTAGAATCCTCCCCGATTCCCAAATCCTCCCCAACTCATCCTTTTTCGTTTGTTGAATCCTCCACAATCCCCAAATCCTCGCCAACTCATCCTTCTCCCATTTGTAGAATCCTCCCCAATTCCCAAATCCTCCCCATCTCACCATTTTTTTCCATTGTAAAATCCTCCCCCATTTCCAAATCCTCCCTTAACTCTTCCTTTTTCCTTTGTAGAATCCTCCCCAATTCCCAAATCCTCCCCAACTCGGTCTTTTTCCTTTGTCGAATCCTCCTCAGTTCCCAAATCCTCCCCAACTCCGTCTTTTTCTTTATAGAATCCTCCCCAATTCCAAAATCCTCACCAATTGTTTTTTTCCTTTGTAGAACCCTCCCCAATTACTCAGATCCTCCCCAACTCCTCCTCTTTCCTTTTGTAGAATCCTCCCAAATTCCCGAATCCTCCCCAACTCCTCCTTTTTCCTCGGGAGAACCCTCCCCAATTCCCAAATCCTCACCAAATCCTCTTTTTTCCTTTGTAGAACCCTCCCCAATTCCCAAATCCTCATCAGCTCTTCCTTTTTCCTGTGTAGAATCCTCCCCAATTCCCAAATCATCTTCAACTCTTTTTTTTCCTTTGAAGATTCCCCCCTCAATTCCAAAATCCTCCCCAACTGTTCCTTTTTCCTTTGTAGAATCCTCCCCAATCCCCAAATCCTCCCCAACTCATCCTTTTTCCTTTGTAGAATCCTCCCCAATTCCCAAAGAATCCCCTCAACTCATCCTTTTTCCTTCTGTAGAATCCTCCCCAATTCCAAAATCCTCCCCAACTCCTTCTTTCTCTTTTGTAGAATCCTCCCCAATTCCCAAATCCTCTCCGACTCCTCTTTTTTTCCTTTGTAGAACCCACACCATTCCCAAATCCGCCCCAACTCATCCTTTTTCCGTTGTAGAATCCGCCCCTAATTCCCAAATCTTCCCCAACTCCTCCTTGTTCCTTTGTAGAACGCTCCCCAATTCCCAAATCCTCCCCAACTCCCCTTTCTCATTTGTAGAATCCTCACCACTTCCCAAATCCTCCCCAACTCATCCTTTTTCCTGTGTAGAATCCTCCTCAATTCCCAAAGCATCCCCAACTTCTCCTTTCTCTTTTGTAGAATCCTCCCCAATTACCAAATCCTCCCCAACTCCTCCTTTTTCCTTTGTCGAATCCACCCCAATTCCCAAATCCTCCCCAACTCCTCCTTTTTCCTGTGTAGAATCCTCCCCAATTCCCAAATCCTCCCCAACTCTTCCTTTTTCGTTTGTAGAATCCTCCCCAATTCCCAAATCCTCCCCAGCTTCTTTTTCCGTTGTAGAATACTCACAAGTCCCAAATCCTCCCCAACTCTTCCTTTTTCCTTTGTAGAAACCTCCCCAATTCCCAAATCCCCCCCAAACTCATTTTTTTTTCCTGTGGAATCCTCCCCAATTCCCAAATCCTCCCCAACTCCATCTTTCTTCCTTTGTAGAATCCTCCCCAAGTCCCAAATCCTCCCCAACTCCTGCTTTTTCCTTTGTGGAATCCTTCCCGATTCCCAAATCCTCCCCAACTCATCCTGTTTCCTTAGTAGAATCCTCCCCAATGCCAAAAATCCTCCCCAACTCCTCCTTTTTCCTTTGTAGAATCCACCCCAATTCCCAAATCCTCCCCAACTCCTCCTTTTTCCTTTTGTAGAATCATCCCAAATTCCTCAATCCTCCCCAGCTCTTTTTTTTCCTGTGTAGAATCCTCCCCAATTCCAAAATCCTCCCCAACTCCTCTCTTTTCCTTTGTAGAATCCTCCCCAATTCCCAAATCCTCCACAACTCATCTTTTTTGCTTTGTAGAATCCTCCCCAATCCCAAATTCCTCCCCAACTCTACTTTTTTCCTTTGTAGAATCATTTCCAATTCCAAAATCCCCCCCCCAACTCATCTTTTTTCCTTTGTAGAATCCTCTCCAATTCCCAAATCCTCCCCAACCCTTCCTTTTTCCTTTGTAGAATCCTCCCCACTTCCCAAATCCTCCCCAACTCCTCCTTTTTCCTTTGTGGAACCCCCCCCCATTCCCAAATCCTCCCCAACTCCTCCTTTTCCTTTGTAGAATCCTCCCCAAGTCCCAAATCCTCCCCAACTCCTCCTTTTTTCCTTTTGTAGAATCCTCCCCAATTCCAGAATCCCCCCCAATTCCTGCTCTTTCCTTTGTAGAATCATCCCCGGGCTCCAACTTCCCAACTCCTGCTCTTTCCTTTGTAACCCCCCCCAATTCCCAAATCCTCCCCAACTCCTGTTAATTCCCTTCTAGAATCCACCCACCTTCCTGAACAAACAAATCCAACCAGAAAGTCACGCACGCCCATTACATTACCGGAAAAATTGTTCAGGGAATTATTACTGTAATATTAACCGCTTCAACAGTACTTCTTCCGGCCGATGGGTACACGATACTATTTTTGTATGGTGTGCTCGACTCCGAGGACGGCGCGCAACGGTACGAAACACAGTCAAACAAGAACACGGGGATGATTAACATGCCAAGGCCACCCTCTGACTCCATGCTTATCTGCCCATCCGAGTCCTTATCGAAGGGGCCATGTTTTTCCACATTCGGCATCCCTCTGTGTGTCGAACAGTTGTTTATCCTTACCGAACGTCCGTCTGCTCGAGTACAGTGGAAGCCCATGCCAAGAGACACCCTGCTCGCCTCCAGGTTGCCCTGGGTTTCTCGGGTTTTGATGGTTTTGCCATTCACAGCGCGACTTTTCCATACGAACATCAATTGGCATCCCGGGGGTTCAGGCTTGGGTCTCTTGTGGAAGGTTTCTGTTGGTCGAGCTCCTTCTGTATCATTGTGGACCCTCCTGCCTTTATTTTCGGCTGCAACTCCTGGGATGTCAAATTGTGATTCTGCCCTGGTCCGAAATCCGGGTCAATTCCGTCAAATTTTGCTCAATCTCGTTTAATCCAGCTTAATCCTGCTTTACCCGAGGCCCACTCTGGCGTAACAGCCCCCCGATGGGGCTTAATCCTCCTCAAGTCCTTCCGACGAAAACCTCCCTGCAGTTGCACCCTAAGTTTTCATGCCTGTATTTTGGCTGCGCCATGCGATCGGTTCCGACGTGCCCCCCCCCATCTGCACGCCCGAAATGGGTATTGAAAGAATGGGTACGATGCCCAACAGCAGCTCTTGTTCATTCTGAACAGGACTCGCTGTCCACGCCGCCGCGGCCTGTGTCCATTCGAGACAGGAGGTCGCCCGCCCAACAGCGGCCGCTGTTGGTTCGGGACAACATTTGTTGTTGGGCATGTTGCCCATTCTTTCGGCACCCATTTCGGGTGTCCAAACCCCAGGACATCTGCGAGTACCACGGGCTCGAGAAGCGGCGGAGGCAGGAGCGGCGCTCCTCCGGCGACGTGGCCGGCTCGGGCGGCAGGTGCGCGCGCGCGCGGGAAGGGAAGGGGGGCGCCCGGATGTCTTTTGGCACGGGCCAGAGTGCGGACCCCAGGGATATACGCCACCACCCACCAAACCACCCCAACCCAACCCGAAGGCCTCCATTCGCCCTCCATTTCCAGTTGGGGGAGGTCGGGGAACACTGAAAAAACACATATGGAACCCGTACCCCCTCCCAACCCGAAATTGGGGTCTTCGGGTTGGGTTGGGGTCGTCTGGTAGGTAGTCATATACACCACCACCACCACCACCACCTTCATTCCCCCCCCCTCTCTCCTCTGCGTTCCTCTTCCCCGCCTCGTTCTGTGGAGAGAGGGGGGGGGCGAGGAAGGTGGTGGTGGTGGTGGTGGTGTAGATGTTCGGGCCCTGTGAAAAAAGGGTGCCTGGGCCGAAGAGTTCTGGGACGGGCTCTTCGTCCCGAGTCGTCTTCGAGCGCTCCCCTGGGGCCCGTGGAGGGGCCCGACGTGCCGACACACAGCAGCATCCGGAGGGCCGGTTTCTCTCCGGAGCCCGCTTGCTTCTGGCCGATGTTCGTTTATTTTCCACGAGCGAAATGGGTACGGAAAGAATGGGTACGATGCCCAGCAGCAGTTCCTGTTCATTTTGAACAGGACTCGCTGTCCACGCCGCCGCGGCCTGTGTCCATTTGAGACAGGAGGCCGCTTGCCCAACAGCGGCCGCTGTTGGTTTGGGGCAACATGTGCTGTTGGGCCTTGTACCCATTCTTTCCGTACCCTTTTCGGGCGTACAAAGTTTAGGTGGAGGACCTCGCAGGGTCAGGGAGCAGGGAACATGCCAGTTGGGATATCCGAATCGAAGAAGCACTGGCTGGGAGGGGGGCACGAGCCTCGGGATGAACAGCAGGGGCTGTGCGCCGCCATCGCTGGCCGAGGTCGACCGGCAAAGGCCGGGCCGCCCGAAACGGGGCCGCAGCAGCCTGCCTCGGCAGAGGGCCAAGGCAGACCGCTGCACCCTTCTTGGCGGGGCCCGCGACCAGCAAGCGCACCGTTCAGGAGCCGCGAGTGCAAGGATCGGAGGATGACCGAGGCGGCTCTTCGCAGTCCGTGGGGCGCTGGAGGCCCGCGTGGGGGCCCCGTGGCCGTCAGAGGCCGATCCGAGACGGGGACCTGGCCACAGTGGACCCTGTAAAGCTTCTGGAGGAACGTTTTGAGTTAATTTCGAAATCTGGCGGGAGAGGAGGGGGAGGAGGGGAGGAGGAGGAGGAGGAGGAGGAGGAGGAGGAGGAGGAGGTCTGTCACTTCCCGCCATGGAAGTCCCCCTTCCTCCGCTCTGTTTTCTCATCCTCCTCCTCGGGAGGAGGAGGAGGCGGAGGAGGTTGGTCATCTCCCGCCATGGGACCCCCCCCTCCTTGCCTCCTCTTTTGCATCCTCCGCTTTCTTACGTTCCTCCACCTCTTTTCTTTCTCACATGTTCGTTTTTCTTTCCCTTATCCTCTTCCTCTGCACTTTCGCTCCTCATCTCCGTCTTCACATCCTTTTCTTACCTCGCTCCTATTCAGAAACAAAAGAAGAGCACGGAAGAGGATCAGGTTGATTGGGGATCGAGGTCGCGTTTGACGCCTTGTCGGACCTCCCGAGGTCTCTTGGGAAAGAGGAGGAGGAGGAGGAGGAGGTCTGTCACCTCCCGCCACTGCCGCCGACCTTGTTCGCTAGGAGGAGGAAGAGGTGGAGGAGGAGGAGGAGGAGGAGAAAGTGGAGGAGGAGGAATAAGAGGAGGAGGAGGAGGAGGAGGAATATGAGGAGGAGGAGAATTATGAGGAGGAGGAGGAATCAGAGGAGGAGGAGGAGGAGGAATACGAGGAGGAAGAAGAGGAGGAACAAGAGGAGGAGGAGGAGGAGGAGGAGGAGGAGGAGGAGGACGAGGAGGAGGAGGAGGAGGAGGACGCGGAACCCGTGCACGAATGCGGAGACGCCCCCCCCGCGCGCCACGCTGCGGGCCCGTGCCGCCCCGTGGCCGCACCCGCGCCAGGGGGGTGGGGGGGTTCCGCGGGGCCGCCTCGCCGCGCGCCCCGCCCCTTGGGGTGAAGCCAGGCCTGCCCCTCTGCAGGAGGAATTTTCCTCCTCCTCCTCCTCCTCCTCCTCCTCCTCCCCTCTCCCCTCTCCTCCCCCTCTCTTCCTCCCCTCCCCCTCCCCCTCTCCTCCTCCTCCTCCTCCTCCTCCTCCCTCCTCTCCTCCTCCTCCTCCTCCTCCTCCTCCTCCTCCTCCTCCTCCTCCCTCCTCCCTCCTCCCTCCTCCTCCTCCTCCTCCTCCTCCTGCCTCCTCCCTCCTCCTCCTCCTCCTCCCTCCTCCTCTCCCTCTACAGGAATCTTCAAATAGTCAGGACATGGTCCGGGGACGATGTTGGGGGAACAGAAAGTGACATTAATAAACATAAAACTCGGAGGTCCGCGCGGATTTCTCGGATCCGCGCTGGACCCCCCCGGCGGCTCCTCCGGCGCCGCCCCTGGCGCGCTCTGCGCGACAGGGAGGGGGGTCCAGCGCGGATCCGAGCAATCCGCGCGGACCTCCGAGTTTTCATGTTTATGCCACTTTTTGTTCCCCTAGTTGTCTGACTATCTTTGGCTATTTGGGAGGATGGTTTGAGCTATTGTCTATAGAGCTTTCGTCCAAAATCCGCCCGCAGGGGGACACGCCCGACCTGAACTTGGGGGGGCGTGTTGGGTTTGCGCGCCTCGCTGCGGGCCCGCGCCGCCCCGAGGGCGCCCCGTGGGCGCCCCGCGCCTGTGGGTGTGCCGAGGTCGCTCCGCGCCGCCGCACATGCCGCGTGGTGTTCCGAGCTTGCTTGCGGCATGGCCGTCGCGGCGCAGCTCACCCCCACCCAGCCTTCACACCGCACAGCCTGCACACGCAGCACTGCCCGCATCACACAGCTTGCGCACAGCCGCTCCCGTCTCCAGCCCATACGGCATACCCTGCACGACGCAGCTTACAACACGAACGTTACACCGCACAGTGTTTACCGCCATAGTTACCCCCCCCTCTCTCTCTGGTATCTATATGCACTTATATATACACATATACTTGTGTACCTATACTTATCTATATATGTGTATATATATATATATATACACAGGGTATGCATGTCAGATCGCCCTCGGCCCATCACGACACCGTGCCTGAGTCGTCGATGTATCTTGGAGGGCCCTTGTGGGCCTCTTGTGGCCTCTTGGGGGCCTCTGGGGGCCTCCCGGGGGCGTCTCTGGGGCTTCGCATTTTGGACTTCCTGGGGGGGCCTGCTGAAGGTCCCCGGTGTCGAAGTTGCAGTTCGTGTTCCCTTCTTGGGCCTCTTTTGGTTCCCTCTTGGGCCGTCTTGGGGGCATCTTGGGTCGTCTTGGGGCCTGCTGGGCCGTCTTCGGGCGACCTTTGTTGCCTCTTGGGCCTTCTTGCAGCGACGGCAGCCTGAAAATGCGAAACATCGCCAAACAAGACAAAGGGAAATCCATGTTTTTGGCATCTTGGGGCTCTTTTGGGTGCCTCTTGGAGCCTTCTTTGGGCGTATTGAGAGCCTCTTGGGTCCATCTTGGACTATCCTTGGGCCCTCGTGGGCCGTCTCGGTGCTCACTAGGACCGTCGGTGGCGTTTCTCGGAAGACTCTAGCAGGTTCGGCGGGTCGTTCTGGGCGGGTTCACCGTTCCAGAGGCCGACGCGACACACCCGAAGAGCACCCAAGAGCACCCATAAATTCCAGGAACATCGTGACCCAGGCACTTCAGAACCTTACAGTCCGCCAAACTGGTGCACTGACATGGGCCTCGTGGCACTCCATTTCTGGCTGAAGGCACGGTGGCGGAAATGCAATGTACCTCCCTCTCTCTCTCTCTCTCTTTTTGTTATTTCTCTCTCTCTCTCTCTCTCTCCCTTTCTTCTCCCTCCCCTCACTCTCTTGGCCTTCGGCCGCCGTCGGTCGCAAGGCAAGACACCGTGCTGAGCGGCATGACTGGCGTCTCGGGGACCTCCGACGCGAAGCCCTCCGGGTGGGTGGGGATTTGTGAAGGGTACGGGGGGCCGAGTAAAAAGGGGGACGGGGTCCCCATGCTCCATCATGTAGGATGAGGGGGGACGGAACCTCCTCTCTCACGATCGAGGAGGGATGGAGAAAGGAGGGGAACGATGAAGAGTGTGGAAGGTGAGAGGGCGAAGCGAGGACCGCGAAGTGCGAATTTCGGATACCATTAGCAGGGAGGAGGAACGATCAGTTTTTCCCCAGGGGTTGGAGGAGACAGGCGCCGTCTCCCCCTCCAGCTCTTGTTCCCAAGCGACTGCACGAGGGTGGGGGAGAGAGAAGGGAGTGAGGATGCCTGACCGCATTGAAGTTAGGACGCCCCCCATGCTTTGCAGGTGCAAAGTCGGTGACGTTACCTGAATTCAGTTCCAGCTGGTTTGACCCGCCGCTTCGACATGGGCTGTGGCGACGGGGTTTATAGGCCCATGGGTTAGCCCCACCAGACATTCTGCTTGGTGGAGTCATGTCATGCGTAGGTGCAAATGCGCAGGGGGCTGCCCCAGCTGCTGGCGCAGAAGAAGGATGGCTTTGAACATGAGTGGGCCCGCCACACCAGCCGTTGTACCGCGCTGTGGCGGGTTATGCCTCACAGGTTTCTCGAGGCCCCGCCTAGCTGAAGTAGCGCTGGCTGGTGGCACACGTTTGGGGCTGCGCTTCCTGAGCACCAGGCACTTGCCCTTTCCATTCCATAGCGAATGGCATTGAGCGGGAAGCCGTAGGAGCGCCGATTTACCCATTGCATCATGCTGTGAAACAGTATGCCGTCTGCCCAGTGGCAGTGTGGCAGCACGAGGAGGGTCGTCAGCTCTTCGACCAGCTCAGGTCCGGCTGGATGGATATCGACCGATGACCGGCGCATCATTTGCTGACGCTATTCGCGTTGCAATTAGGCGTTGAGGGGCATCTTGAGGTCTCCGAGGCCTATTGGAAACCGACAAGGCGAAGCGGGGAAAATCATCGAAGTATCGAACCTGCTATGACGAATCACCGCCCCTAGTGTCTCTCGGGAACGCCTTTGTCCCAACACGTTGTGCAAAAGTTGGGCCAAGCTGATGGACTTCTGCCAGCCCGTACTTGCTTGTTGGGCCCAGGCTGCTCACGGAGCAGGAGGAGGGGAAAGCAGAAGAGTTGGGAAGAGGAGGCAGAGCAGGGGGGGGACGGAGTGGGAGGAAATGGTGGTGGGGGGGGGAGGATGTAGGAAGACGTTGTGGGAAACGGGGAAGGAGTAGGAGGAGGAAGAGGAGGAGGGATCGGTGTGCGACCTCCGACTTCCTTCTTGCCGTTTGCCACTCCTTCCCCGCGCTGTTCGTGTCTGTGTTGTTGCTCGGTCTTCCGCCTCCTTCCTAGGCGCCGGTGTCAATAGTAGGACCGAGGGGTTCATGACACAGTAATACTGGACACAAGGATAACCGTGTACCTTTGTTATGCTAGGGGGTCATTCGACATGCGCTTGGTAAGTTGACGATGGCGGTGATGAACATCGTCTCGAAGTTCCAGGAACATCGCAGGGACCGCTCTACACGACACGCGGCTTTGCACAGCACACGGCACCGCGCAACCAAACGTGATTTAGACAGGCCATGACAAAGTCTGGTTCAAGTGCGTCCTTTGGTTCGTGAGTCCCTCACTTTGACGGGTCGGCGACCCAAGCTATCTGCGCCCAGGTCGGGTGTGACTGGTTGGGCGCGTCGCTCCCGTCCCTAGCTAGTTGGTAAAGCTTCAAAGGGAAAGAGAGAGAGAGGGGGAGAGATAGAAAGAAAGAGAGAGAGAGAGAGGCAGATGGAGTTTCCTTCTGGCCCGTTTGCGTCACCACTCAGCCTGGATTTGCGCCCGTTAGGAACACCAAGCTAGACACAGGGAGAGGATGAGAAGAGTCTCTGATCGAACAGCCCCTCGAGCATGCAGAGAAGGTCGGCACGTGTTTCGGGCAAGACCATGCGGCACAGAAGTGAAGCTGGTGCAAGGCTTTGAGGGCATAGGCAGCATGCAGAGACAGAGTACCTGAGTCGAAACCGATGTGCATTGGCATTGTTAGCTGATCTGAGCCGATGGGAGACAGCAGCAGGTTATACGTGAGAGGTTCTCGTGGCTCCACCTACTGTAACGAACGCAGGAGTGCATCATTGGAGTAGTGTCCATGTCAAGGGTCGTGCTCAATTAGTGTGGACAGGGGGAGGTCTCCAAAGGTCGCCGCGCGTCTCTATTGTGTCTTGTGCCACTCAGCTATGGGAGTGTAAGTGCGATGCGTTGCTCGTTCCGTCGTGAGCCTGACGTGGGCGCATGAGTTGGTGATATGTGGGTTTTGAGCTTTGTCCAGTACAGATTTACTCACCATATTGCATCATATCGGGAGCGTCGGTGCGCCTGCACTATCCCAACGTCGGGTTTGAAGGTTTTGCACTTTCGCGTTTGCACGAGTGTTATCGTTGTTGTTGTTTGTTTTGCTCAGTTGGCACATGATGAATTACTGGTTTGCGCAGTTACATTCTCACGTATCGTTATGATGTGGGCTTGTGCTTCAGAGTCATGCATCGGTGTTCAGTGACTTCGTGCAGAGGTTCATTGCCCAGATGAGAACATTTGTAATGATATAAGTAGTAAAGTGCTCACAAGGTTAAGTTTGAGGAGCCCGAGCATGGCGCAAGGCCAGCCGCGCATCCATTGTTATTGCAGTACGCTTGACTTGTCGTGGGCATGCGATAGCGCGTCCAGTAGTTGTTGCTCTCAGGTTCCCGCTACGAATCAACATCGTTCCTTGCCCGAGCCAGTTCCTCACAGGTAGTCATTCATCGTTTCGAGAGCTCAGGCTGTAGCTTCAATCGCCACTTGGCAAGCGCTGTGCACAGTGACGCTCAGAGATCCGGTGCTGCCGGGTGTTCCTGGCTGCCTGGGCTCCAGGGTTTCTGCCAGGAGTTCTGGGCTCTCGGGCTCAGTTCAGCGCGAGCATTACGTAGCCTTACTTCCGATTGCAAGGTGCAGGACGTCGTTTGTTCAACGCGTCGGTTTCTCCACAAGTAGTGAGCTGAGCAATTTTTGATAGCCTAATACTCTATCCCACAGCTCGCAAAAACAAATACATGTCCCACCTGCGGCATCGACACGCAGTATGTCACTGATGAGCCGATGTATAGTGTGTCGCACGTTGCCGCGGATGCGCGAGATCGGATACTAACCCCCGATAATTGTCGGAGGTGAGGGGGTGAGATCGAAGTGGAACGGAGAGCCCCCCTACCGGGAAATCGATTTCGGTTTCGTGTTCGTGCGTGCCGTGCGGGCGAGGCGAAGCTGCGTAGGCGGGCGAGAGAAAGTCTCCTGAGGCTGAGGCGCGGCCGGACCAAATGATTCCCTTCCGGGCGGCCGGGGCCCCGCGGTGTCCCGCGGTGTCCCGCGGTGCCCCGCGGTGTCCCGCCGGTGTCCCGCGATGATGATGATGATGATGATGATGATGATGATGATGATGATGGTGATGGTGATGGTGATGGTGATGTTGATGTTGATGATGATGATGCTGCTGATGATGATGATGACGATGATGATGATGGTGATGCTGATGATCATGATGATGCTGATGGTGATGAGGACGATGATGATGATGATGATATGATGCTGATGGTGTCCCGATGCTGCTGCTGCTGATGATGATGATGATGTCGATGATGATGATGACGATGATGATGATGATGCTGATGGTGTCCCGATGATGAGGATGATGATGATCATGATGATTACGTTAATGATCATGATGATGACGATGATGGTGCCCCGATGATGATGAGTATGATGATGTTGATGTTGATGATGCTGATTATGATTGTGTCCCGATGATGATGATGTTGATGATGATGAGGTTGATGATGATTATGGCGTCCCGATGATGGTGATGATGATGATTATTCTGATGGTGATGATGATGATGTTGATGATGATGGCGTCCCGATGGTGATGATGATGATGATGATGATGATGATGATGATGATGATGTTGATGCTGATGTTTGTAATGATGATGATGGTGCCCCGATGATGACGATGATGATGCTGCTGATGATGATGTTGATGATGCTGATGATGATGATGATGTCGATGATGAGGATGATATGATGATGATGATGGTGTCCCGATGATGATGATGATGATGATGATGATGATGATGATGACGATGATGATGATGATGATGATGATGATGATACCGATGGTGATCATGATGGTGTCCCGATGATGATGATGCTGCTGCTGATGATGATGATGACGATGACTGTGTCCCGATGCTGCTGATGATGATGATGATGTTGATGATGATGATGGTTGTGATGATGGTGCTGATGATGATGATGGTGGTGTCCCGCTGATGCCGATGCCCGTGATGATGATGATGATGGTGTTGATGATGAGGACGGTGTCCCGATTATGATGATGTTGGTGATGATGATGTTGATGTTGTTGTTGATGATGATGATGATGACGTTGATTGTGAGAGCGGTTGTGATATCGATAGTGAGATCGATAGTGAGACCGAATGTGATATCGATTGTGAGATCGATTGTAAGATCGATTGTGAGATCGATAGTCAGATCAATTGTGAGATAGATCGAGTGAGATCGATTGTGAGATCGATCGAGGGAGATCGATCGAGCGAGACCGATACTGAGATCGATAGTGAGACCCATCGAGTGAGACGTTGGTTCCTCCCCCCCCCCCGAACCTCCTTATCACCCGAAGGGTGGTCGTATAGGTATCACCATACATTTGCAGTGTATATCATAATGTGCGAAGTTTGAGTTTGTACCTTGCGTGTTCTAGATTAGAGAAGGCCCGATCAAGTCGGTCAGCGATACACACATAGCGCATGGGTAACGCGCGCAAGCACATGTGCAAGACGTGGACGCTACGTGAATCTCTGACGCGACATGATGCGTACCACTTGCCGCAGCCGAGTACAAAGCACGTGCACCTACGTCGAATATGCGGCAACAATGGATACGCTTCAATCTTTGAGAATCAGGGCGCTTGACAATGTGCCACAACAGGCCAGCTGTCCGCCAGTAACGCGTGTTCGACGAATGGTTCATACATTCTTCGGGTAAGCCTAAACCAGCCCACTATCAATGTAGGTGACTTTTGCACCGTGATTTGGTTCTCCGTACATCCTGCGAGAGTGTCTCGGTCTCGGGTCACGCATTTGTTCTCTTCTTATTGCTTTCCCCCAACTTACAGCAAGCGGAATGTATGATTCTACCACGTTGCCGCGTTCGCCTCACGTGGTGGGATCAGGTAAGAGTCTGTTTGGAGCCCCAGTCGCAGCATGCTCCCTTCTGGTTCTTTGTTTCCTGCTTCTTCAAGTCCGCTTTGGCGGTTGTGGATTGACCTTCTTTACCTTCCCCCCAGCCGGCGTGCATTCCAGGGGAAGCGCCAAGAATTCAGACGACGCCGTGTTGAAGAGTATGACGTCGTCGAGCTCCATTCTCACTTCCGTCTCCCACAAGTCTTCTCACGATTCAGGTTGTTTGCTTTATCTCCGTGCCTCCGGTTCATGCGCTCTTCATTGCCACAGGGACATGATCCAAACATTAATTTAGCATGGATTGCTTGGGTAGTCGTTCGCGCCGTGTTTCAGTTTGCAAGTTGGTAATGGTAGAGTGCCGATTGGTTGCGAGACGTAGTGGTTGCGATATCTGATGCGAAAGGGAAGGCGAGTTGGCAGTCGTCGTTTCGAATGATTAGCCGCATTGCACATCATCCATACTGCTTCTAAGGGCCGCCCAGACTGCTCCGAAGCTATGGTGATTACATGTTGTATACGCTCTTTGTACAATGCAGTGTAAGAACGTTGCGTGCAAGCGCATCAGTGCTTGCTTGGAAATAGTGAGTTCCCCATCCCACGATACGAGTTTCATGTTGACTTTCACGAGTTGTTGACTTCACGGATTTCACTAACATTGCCTTGAACGTGGGTTTCTCATAATGTTCATCAGTCTTTGTGTGTAAAGCAGGTCTGGAATAGTTGCGACACCGGCAGCCGAGTTCTAAGTCCTTGACGTTTCGCGTATTTCGAAGCGAAGATCGCGATCAGACGGAGCAGGCCCTGGGACCAACCAATGATGCCGTCCCGGATCTTTCGATGTGGCAGTTTCCTGGCAGCCTACTTTGGCCATCTTGGGGCACCTTTGTTGCCATCTGGGAGGTCTTCGGGGCTCTATCGGGAAATTCTTGGGGCTCTCGCGGGGCATCTCGGAGGCCATCCATCAAAGCGGGGATCCATAATTAGCGCGGCCCCTGGTCGGAGGGCGAGACATCGCTTCATGGAGCCCTTCTTGGGGCGCTCCAGGTCGCTCTCCGGGCCGTCTGAGGGTCCTCCTCGCCCCCTCCCAGGGGTCTTCGCGACCATCTTGGAGCCACCATGAGACCTCGAGAGCCATCTTGGAGCCATCATCTTGCCGCCATCTTGCAGCCCGAAAGCGAAAAGGCGAGAAGGCAAGCAAGGTTGATTCCGTTTGGAAGCATCTGCGGCTCTCGGGGGGGCTTCCTTGAGAGATTCCGTGACCACTCGGCGCCGTCATGGGCCCCGTCTTGAGGCATCTTGGAGGCCGTCCTTTACGATCTTAGGTTGTGTTGTGTCAAATTGGAGGCTCCTCCTCCCTCCTCCTCCTCCTCCTCCTCCTGCTCCCCCTCCTCCTCCTCCTCCTTCTCCTCCTCCTCCTCCTCCTCCTCCTCCTCTATCTTGGGCCGTCTAGGCCCGTGTTGGAGCCTTCCGAGACGCCCGAAAGACCCGCGCGAGACTACCTACAGTCAACCCGCACAGGAAGGATGAGCAGCCTTCCCTAGGGTGCCCTCGCACCCTTGGCTCCTCGGCCCCTCCCTGGCCACTTTTGCTGGCCGCGCCCCCCTCGAAGGGCTTCGAGGTGGGCGGCCAAGGCCCTCGCACCCTTCTCGCGCATCCTCGTGGTGCGGGCCGACTGTGTACGCCCAGAGGGCTGGTGGGATCGCAGCACTGTTCTTGGTGCTGCCTCCGGCCCGGGATTTTTCTCTTTGGGGGGGGGGGGCGGGTGGGCCGGTGGCCCCCCGGGCAGGAGAGGTGAGCGGCTGGGGGGGCGGACGAGTTTTCTCGAGGGCGAGAAGGGGTACCCTTCCTCCTCTCGGCATCGCCCGGAGGTGTGCACTTTCGTTTACGGCAGGGACCAGCGATCCCCGCCCACCACACCACCCCAACCCGACCCAACCCGAGGGCCCCGAGCTGCCCTCCATGTCCAATTGGGGGGGGTCGTCGGGGAACACCGAACAAAAACACACATGCAGCCCGTCCCCCTCCCCCAACCCGAAATTCGGGGCATCGGGTTGGGTTGGGGTGGCCTGGTAGGTGGTGAGTCGAGGCGCCTCCTGGAGCATCGAGCGGACAAAAACACGCACAGCACCGACAACCATGCACGGGAAACGGACGTCCGAGCGATGGCAAGTCCTCGTCCTTTCGCTTCGCATCGCCTGCGCCAGTGGACGGGGCACGCTTGTAGCACGTCCGTGGTCCGTCCCCACACCGCGCGTGTCCTTGCCTGGCCGAGTCCCAGTCGGACACCCGTTTCTTCCGTGCGTGCCAGGAGGAGGATGGACCGTGTCATCTGGGCGTCGCGAAGAAAATCACCACGGGCATGCAATGTGAATTTGGAGTCCTGGGCCCCTCACGATTCGTTTTGGGGAAGCACGAAAGGCGATGGCGGTTTGTGAAACAGTGTAGTGGCACGTGACGACATGACCATCATGGGCGTGACATTGTTTGTCGATCATGGTTGTTGGCACTTGTTGGCTTTTGGAACGCATCTGGATTTACATCTGTGGCCTTGAAGCCCATAAGCCGTGATGCGGTCAGCGTGATTGCGCGAATTGCCAGTGAAAATATTGCCGATCTCAGTCTCCGACGTTGACGAGCAAAGTGGCTCCGACAGCGACGAGGATACCGCTGGGTGTTTGTGCCATGCCAATTTGATTGATGCCCGTTCCCCCCCAGCATGCGAACAGCGATGTAGGCGGTTGCGTAGTGGCAGTGCCTGCGGATAGTCTGGCCAGGCGTGATTGCCAGGGGACGCTTTTGCATGGCATGTTAGCTTCGGTGCTTGTACTGCGGCCGAATGGTCAGCTCTTATAGCCGTCCACATCGGGAAGTCACGACTCGCGTTGCTATGGTATCATCGTTTGTTGCGCTTCCTCTGCCTCGCTGCGGTCTTGCGGGTTGGGAGGGTCCGCTACTGCATCCGCCATGCTTGCGTTCCTCGTCCTCGCCCCTCCCCCGTGTTCCTTCCTTTCCTATCCCCCTACCCGTTCCTTCCTTGTTTGTTTCTTTATTCTACCTCCACGTCTTTGCTCTTAGTGATTATTGTGTTTTCATTTTTCTCTTCCGCCTCATCCGACCTTCCCTCCGTCTCCCCCCTCCGCCTCCTGTCCTCCCCCCTCCCCCCCGTCGTCCTGAGCAGCCTTCTCTCCGCCTCCCTCTTCCATTAGCAAGAGCGCTGTCATTCCAGACTGTGACAGGATGTCTCGATTGATGTCTTGCCCTTCCTCTTCATCCAGTCGCCTCCCGATCCGACATCCTGCCCTTCCTTCATGCTCCGCGGACTTCTCGTTCGCACCTGTACGACGCCCTTCGAGCTTCTCCCTTCTGCTCAGTATCCCCCTCCCAGTCCTCCGTTCGCCTCCCGTTCTCATCCTAGTCCTCCCTCCGCCCCAGAGGGCAGAAGGACGGACCGGAGGAGGACTATGAGCAGCAGCAGCAGCAGCAGCAGAAGGGGGAGAAGGACCTGAGAACACGAGGAGGATGTGGAGTAGGATGGGGATAAGATGGAGGAAGAGAGCGAGGAACACTGGAGGACTATCACGCACTCAGAGCGTCTAGTTGTCTGGAGGTCCCTCCTCCCTCCGTTTCTGTTCGCCTCCCTTGTGTCTGCTCCTCATCTCTCTTTCCTCTCCTCCCTACGCCTGAGTCTTCCTTCTTCGGCATAGTCCCTTTCCATCATGGGAGAACCGGAGGAAGCCAGAAGGAGGGGAAGCAAGACGAGCAGGACGCTTCGCCCCTCTCCTCCGTCGCCCCTCCCCCTCCCACATGCTGCCCTCCCCTTCCCCCCTCCTCCTTCCCTCCCCCCTCCCCCCCCCCTCCCCTCCCTCTCCTTGCCTCCGCCACTTCCGCCTTCCTCCCCCCCCCCCCTCGCCCGCCCACGGAGCGCCGCCCCGCGCCGCAGGACGACGACACGGGCACGGCGTCGGCGAGGCTGGCCAAGAAGAAGAAGAGCATGGTGAGGATGCGCCAGCACGAGTCGTGGGAGAGGTCCTCCTCCTCCTCCTCCTCCTCCTCCTCCCTCCTCCTCCTCCCCCAGAGGAGGAGGAGGAGGAGGAGGAGGAGGAGGAGGAGGAGGGCGGAGTAGTAGTAGTAGTAGTAGTAGTAGTAGTAGTAGTAGTAGTAGTAGTAGTAGTAGTAGTAGTAGTGTAGTAGTAGTAGTAGTAGTAGTAGTAGCAGTAGCAGTAGCAGTAGCAGTAGCAGTAGCAGTAGTAGTAGTAGTAGTAGTAGTAGTAGTAGTAGTAGTAGTAGCAGTAGTAGTAGTAGTAGTAGTAGTAGTAGTAGTAGTAGTAGCAGCAGTAGTAGTAGTAGTAGTAGTAGTAGTAGGAGGAGGAGGAGGAGGAGGAGGAGGAGGAGGAGGAGGAGGAGCGCGGGGGGCTCCATCGGGGGGGCCCACGGCGGGGGGTGGACGAGCCCTGCCCGTGCCTGCGCCCGGCGTGCGCCGCTCTCGGGGAGGGCACTCTCCCGGGGTCACGGGCGGGGGTCGTTTCCGGCTGGCTCGGCGTCGGAGGCGATTCGGCCATCGGCGCTGGAGGGCAGCGTTCGGATGGCCACAGGGGGGAGGAGGGGAGAGGAGGGGGGAGGAGGGGCAGCAGGAGGGAGGAAGAAGAAGGCAGGGGGGGAGGAGGAGGAGGAGGAGGAGGAGGAGGAGGAGGAGGAGGAGGAGGAGGAGGGGGAGGAGGAGGAATGTCAACGGCGACGGGGACGACGAGCGTGGGGAGGGGGAGGAGCCGGGAGGCGGGAAGCGAGGAGCGGCAAGCAGGAGGATGAGGAGGGGGGAGCAGGGAGGAGGATGAGGGCGAGGCGGCGGAGAGAGTGCGAGCGGATAGGAACGGGAGCAGGGGGCGGGGGGGGTAGGGAGGACCAGAGATCCGACGCTCCAGCAAAAACTGGAGCGACCAACTTGTGACAATTTACTGCCTCTGGGGCCCTCGCCGCGCGTTGGGACCGTCAAACAAGGATTTCGTGACGAAAGACTTGCCCTCGGCATGGAACAAAGTGGAGCGGCCGGATGTCTGGGGAGGAGGAGGAGGAGGAGGAGGAGGAGGAGGAGGAGGAGGAGGAGGAAGAGGGGGTGGAGGAGGACGGTGACGCAGAGGAGGAGCAACAGCAGGAGCAGGAGCAGGAGCAGGAGGAGGAGGAAGAGGGGGTGGAGGAGGACGGTGACGCAGAGGAGGAGCAACAGCAGGAGCAGGAGCAGGAGCAGGAGGAGGAGGAGAGAGCGCGGAGGGCGAGGAGGGGCAGGAGGAAGAGGAGGGCGGTGGCGCCGAGGGGGAGGACGAGCACCAGGAGCACCAGGGGAGGACGAGCACCGGGAGGGGGACGAGGGACGGCGCGCCCAGCTTGAGCTGGTGGCGCGCAGTGAGCGGGCCCCCGCCCGCGCTGCTCCGTCGTCGTCGTCGTCGCCAGCGCTGGCATCTCGAGTTGTCCCACGCCCGCAAGCTTGCGAGGAAGGCTTTTCCAGCGAGCTCGCGAGCTTCTCTCCCGTGGCGCGAAGCTGCTCTGAGCAGATCGGTAGCTCTTCCGACCAGAGCAGGTCTTTAAACTGCTCCGGCCAGGGCAGGTCGTTGAGCTGCTCTGATCTGAGTCCGCCAGCGCCGTCGTCGTCACTGCGCCCCTCGTCCACCCAAGAGTTTAAGTGCCCAAAAGAGATTCAGTTCGTACCTTTGAGAATTTCTAAGCCACGATCTCCCCCCTCTCGAGCGCCAGGTCAAAGACTCCCAACCGGCGCTTTGTGGCGCTCGGCTTCGACATCTTCTCGTCTTCCACCCACACGGACTGGCACGACGAGAAGACATTGGCAAAGTCCTGCGCCCAGATTTCTAGATTGAACATGGCGGGAGAGATATACATATCGATGTTTGATATGATCCAGGGTTGCCCCCAATCCCCCCTCACCCACCCCAATGCATATAGGATCGAGCCCCCCACCCACCCCCCGCTGGACGGGTACGCCCGTGAGCCTCACGAAGGCCTCGCGGATGGAATTGCCCCCCCCCCCCCCCCTTGTGGTCGTGGCCATGTGGGCGTGGCGTGGTGGAGGGTGCCAGTGCACCCCCCTCCCACCAATTGTGAGTGTGGGGTGGCTCGTCGTCGTCGTCGTCGTCGTCGTCGTCGTCGTCGTCGTCCTCGGCGTCGTCGTTCGTCGTCCGTTGGCGACGGCGACGGCGTCGGCGTCTTCGTCTCCTTCCCACATCCCGTCTGGGGTGGGGGTGGCTGTGGAACCTTGGACCCATCCCATCTGGGGGGTGGCCTGTGAAGCCTCGACCGGGAATCATAGATCGGTAAGGAGGGTTGGCCCATAGATGGTGTGCCATGTATTCAATAGCCGCTGCTGGACGGCGCATCGGCAAACTAATCTGCATACGCAATGTCTGCGAACTGCCGCTGCACCACTGTGCTCGGCCACTGGCAAGCTTTCTGCCAGTAGCGTGCGAGGGACATCAGCAACGCTCCAGTGAAGGAGGGGGCGGGCAGGGTAACAGTCCTATACCAAGTCCACACTGATCCATACCCATGACCCGTACCCACAGCAATGGGGGTTCATATGCACACAAGTGTTCGTCGTTGCTGCCTTTACGCATGGAGCCGTGCACACATGAAACATCGATGATGCCTCTGGCGAGTCACCGCCGTCGCCCCTTGTGACCGAAAAGTCCAAGACGGACAGCTATTATTGCCTCTTTGGGCCTCGCGGGCAAGTATCGGGTCCTATTTGGCTCTTTGGCGACTGTCTTGGGCGGTGTTGGATCATTCTTGGGCCGTTCGATGTCGTCTTGGGGGCCTCCTGGAGACGGTCTTGGGTCCTTTTGGGCCTCTTTGGACTTGAGAGGCCTTCTGATACTATGTGTGGGCTATCCTGGGCTGTTCGGAATCGCCTTGAGCCGAAAAGTCAGAAGCCAAGGAGCACCGCAAAACCTGAGGGCACCCTCTTTGGCTTTTAGTAGATCTGGTTGGGATCCTGTTGGGTCCCTGGAGCCCTTCTGGACGCCACGTGGGGGCAAGGACCGACATACATGTGGACACGTTGGAAGAGCCGAAGCGAAGGGTCAATGTGCTCTTTGGTGCGCCCAGCACGTACGTGGACTGCGGTTCGAGGGCACAGCGGGAACACCGAAGTCGACAAAGCATGTCCACCCTTGGTACGGTAGGCTCGTGGCGTGTCGACGCGGCGGCGACCCCGGCTCGGGCGGTGAATGTTGGACGCCCTTCGTGGCTTGCAATCGGCTGGCGCCGAACGATGTGCGCTATCGGGGCGATCGCCAAAGGTGGAACGAATCACGCGGTGTCAGGATTCAATGCCGAGGTCGTCACGGCACGAATTTTCCGTATGATGTTCTTTCAGATTTTTTCCCCAGGGGGGATCTCGGGAAGATTTTTGAATAGATTGCTGTGTCCTGGGATGCAGGCCTCTCGTCGAGGCGAAGTGCCTGTCGGAAACATCTCGGGTCCCGCAAATGCAGTCACAGTGGGTCGTTTGGGAATCCTTCCTCACCAAATACCCCCACCCCTCCCTCCTGCCCCTCCTGTCTCCCTCCTGCGTCCTCCTCCTTCATCCTCTGGGATGCGAATGTCAAAACATGCCCCTGCCCTTGGGGTTAGGAGGCTGCCCGACTGCATTAGAAATCCCACTCGGGGCCCTGGCAGGGGGCCTTTCTGGGCCATTTCGGAGCATCTTGTGGGCCTGTTGACGGTCCTGGGGCCGCCCTCATGGTGGGAGGGAAGAGCGGATTCCCGACCGTGTCAGGGACGTCTGACCGCGGTCTGCCGTCTTGACGACCTCTTGTCACCGAGCGCGTTCCATTACTCGTAAACTTCCTGCTCGCAAACGTCCGAATCGTAAACGTCTGCCTGGATGTAATAGATCGCAACCCCCCTTTCAGCAGATCCAGGCTATTTGCGAGTATGTATTTCGCGAGCAGTGGAACGCGCTTGTCTATGATGGGCCCCTCTTGGGCCTCGGAGCCTGCATTGGGCCCCATTCATAAAATGTTGTTTCTAGCTTTTACTTAATCGCTTCGCTCATTCCGCCGGCCCTCGAGCGCTCTATGGGGCTTCTTTGATGCCTCTTCGGGGGCCTCTTTGGGGCCTCCTAGGGGCCTCTTGGGGGCCTCTTGGGGCTTTCTTTGGGCTCCTTGTCGGCGTCTTGGGGCTCCCTTGGGCCTCTAGGGGAGCTCTTGGGGGCCTCTTGGGGCGGGGTAGTCGAGTGCAACCCCCTCGGAGGCCACGATCCTCGTGAGGGGTGTCGAAAAATTACCCTCATAACCATCTCTGAGTAGACCTGGTCGGGCTGCGGTCGGGATACTCTTCGCCGGGGGGGCCCCAGGGGCCGCCCCGCGCGCGCGAACTAGAAATATTGTTAACCAGTTACCGTAGATCTTAGCACGCCTCTGGCCCGTTGGGCCGGCGAATTTGGTTCCGACGCCCTCCAGGCGAGAATATGGGCATTATGTCATTGCGTCGCATTCCGGGCACAGCCCGTAATTCGATGTTCTTGGGGTAAACTGAATTGAGTTGGCAATTTAATCACCCGAGCCGTTACGTGAAGAGTTGGGTCATAGGGGGTTGAGTAGATGGTGAGATATTGTTGACCATGTAAGGTCAGATGGTGAGGATAAATGCTGGCCGTTTTCTGCCATGAGTCGAGGTAGGCGGTTCACAGTTTAACGTCAGGGGGCGCGGCGTTTCGCCGGCCGTGTTAGGCCAGGGGTCGAGAATATTGTGTGCCAGGCTGCGAGGATGTGTCACTGGCCGTCAGGCGTCGAGAAAATGTTGCCGGCTATTTTACCCCAGGGCATAAGGATATGTTGCTTGCAACTTTCCGGTCTGTGCCGGTGTGGTGTGAGCGAGCGCATCGCGGTCCAAGCGGCTGACGGGCTACTGAAGCGTGCTGGCAACTATGCATGGGGTGATGATATGTTGTTGGCCTGTTTAGGCTAGGGGGCAAGTACGTGTTGTTGGTCGATCTTGGCCAGGGGGATGGTTTGCTGTCAGTGTTGGGCCTCTAGGGTGGGGACATGTTACTGGCCACGGACCTGGCAAAGGGCAAGCAACCGCCATGCAGGAGTCTCCAGGGCACTAGGCAAGCGTGGTCTCACTCCCCATCCTTGGCGCAGTGGTTTCCATAACGGGCAGCCTCAAACGCCATGGTGTTGGTGGAGGAAGGCGCGTGCAACACAAGGCTCTCCGTGACACAGTCGAGCCAGGTATGTGTCCCATGATACAGATGTCGGTTTTCGATGTGGTATGTGTGTGTGTGTGTTTAACCACTTCTGGCAGCATTTCATCGACTGCCCCTCTGCGAAACAGTTCCTAAGACAGTTACGGTCCACGCCAGTTGAAGCGATTCTTTCAGGCCACAGCGTTTGGCACAAGATGTTCAGCGTGCCATGCCGCGTTCCGCACTTGCCACTCGTGCGTGTGCGGTCTGAGGAGTTGTCGTAGAATATGTGATTTGCGATGGAGTATTGGAAGCTGATACTAGTAGTGTTCGCGAGGGGGGTAGGATAGCTTCACATGCCGCTCACGGGTTCGATACTGTCTGCAGCAATCGCGTTACCCATCGCTGTATTCGACAGAGTGTTGATACGTACGAGATGACGTTTTCTCGGCGACCCACATAGAAAACCACAGACTGCTCGTTGAATGTTGTGGCGTTGTATGGTCATCGATTGGCCCGCGTTCATCGATTGTACCTTGCTTGAAGTTGTGGTATGTGTTGCAAGCTGTGCTCTTGTTGATGTCCCATGGGTATCTCCTCTCCGAGGCGAGAAGGTCCTCGTCCTGCCCAGCTAGTTGTGAAGGAGTTCCGCAGGCGCACCGCCGATCCTGAGACCGGGGTCTTGAAGACTGTCTTGCTCAGCCAGGTCTCGTGAGGGAGTCGCGGACAGCGGTGACGCGTTGGCCACGGCTGTATTGAGTGTCTGCATTGTTGCTGTGACGCTCCGATCTGGCGGACAGCAACTCCGAGTTGCTCGCGGGGCTAGCCCTTGTGTGCTGTGCAGTCTTGGCCAACCAGTATTTGGCCACATCCCCCTCCCACAGAGTGAATCAGGCCGCCAACCATTACGAGGGCTTCTGAGCAGCACATCATTCTAACGAGAGCTCGGGTCCCAGCTCAAGGTCGGGGTGCGATGGTCCAGCGTGTGGCCGCATTGTCCTGGTTTGGTCTGGCCTTGTGCGATGCCTTGATTTGTGAGTTTCGAGTCCGAGGACCGAGTGGTCTGATGGTGTCCTTGGAGTGTGGTCGAAGGGGGTTCGGGGAGCTCGTCGTTGTCGTGTTAGTGTCGTGCCGCCGTTCTGCGTCCCAGGCAAGTCTGGGGCCAGCAGACTCTCCGCTCGGCGCTCTGACCAGCAGCCGATGCCTCAGGAGTCGGACGGCAGCCACACGGGCTTCCTTCGTAGAGGAGTGATGTTTACACTTGACTTAATCGCTTCGCTCATTCCGCCGGCCCTGGAGCGCTATTTGGGGCCTCTTGGGGCCGTCTTGGAGGCCTCTTGGGGGCTTCTTGGGAGCGTCTTGGGGCTCCTTGGCGGCGTCTTGGGTTCCCCTGGGGCCTCTTGGGGGCCTCTTGGGGGGCTCTTGGGGGCCCCTTGGGGCGGGAGGGGGGGTAGTTGATTGCAGCCACCCCCTCGGAGGCCACGATCCTCGTGAGGGGTGGCGAAAAATAGCCTCCCCCCTGGGGATCGCCCGGGACCCGGCCGGGGATCGGCCGGGGTGCTTTTCGTCCGGGGTGCACTGGCGAAGCTGTCCAGATCTGGAAGTGACCGGCATCGTAAGACGAGGTGGATTCGCGCACGACCCGCCTTATGGCTCGGGGGTGGACAGACCTCCTACCCTGACACGTCGATTCGTGAATTGTCCGTTTTCGGTTCTCCAGAGGGCGCCGCGGCCGTCATTTTCCAGGCTTGCGCCCGCCAGGTTTGGGCCCGAGGTCGTTTTCACGAAACCACGTTTTACTAGAGGGGGGTCTGTCCATCCCCGAATGGCGCGGTCTCTGGTGACTTTGCGTCTGACCGCAGCCGGTGCCGGTTCAATCTGCTCCCTGCGGACCTGCCTCGATGCCTTCGCTGTCCTGTGGAGTCGCTTTGGGGGTGGGCGCGTGCTCCAGAGGGTCAGACTAGAGCTCGGACCGTGGATCCGAGCGGGAGGATGCTGCTGCGGAGGGACGTGTCGGGGGTGGACAGAACTCCTGCCCTGACACGTCGATTGAGGAATTGGCCGTTTTCGGTTCGCGAGAGGGCGTCGCGGCCGTCATTGTTGCGGGTCCAGGTCCGTCGGTTTTGGTCCCAGGCCGTTTTCGCTGAAGGGAGGTTCACTAAAGGGAGGTTCGTCCACCGCCGAACGTGTGTGCGGGTTTTGGATAGGGTGAGGCGGAGCTTGGAGATCCTTCCGCTTTCGACACGGAGGTGTGGGGTGGTATGCACCCAATGTGCCTGAATACTATCCATGTCGTCTTCTCCTACATCTCCACCTGCTGCAGTAAAGCCACTGCTCCGTCTTCACCCCTTAATCGTTGTTGCTGTCTACCTCAGAATTAGCTCGCGCTACCGTCTACCGCGCAGGTTTTGTGGTACAATTCCCCATCCGAGAACGTGGGATCCACAAAGGCTATCCTTTCTTTTGCGGGGTTGGCGTGCACATGTTACGAATTGCAGCATTCACCGAACCATCGCAAACTGTTGGAGGCGTTCGGCACGGCGCATTCGAGCATAGGCAATGCGTGTGGTTGGCACGCGTTATTTGCGACATTTTATGTCGTTGCACATGCCGACAGACTATGCGATTGACGAGACTAGAAGGGGATGGGGGGGAGGAGTATGGTCACAGCCAGGATCGATTACACGTAAGAGTGACCCTCGCCGCCGGAGTGATCTTTCGTGCGCGACCATCGATGCCCTTTGATCGCCGAGTGCGGTTCGATAGTAGCGCCTTGCGCGCTCGTGTTCGTCCCCGCCCCCCCCGCGGCCCTCAAAAAGCCGCGCACCAAAGGTCATTCTTGCCCAGAGCCACTCTTGCGTGTAGCCGACTGGAGCAGGGGGAGGAGGAGCAGCAAGCAGCACCAGGAGTGGTAGAGCAAGGGAAGGGTCAGCATTCGATCAGGGGATCGACAACATAACTGATTTACCCCTCAAAAGTCGATTGGTTCGTTGCATATATACGAGTAGTATACGTATTGGCTGTGTAGAGTCGAAGAGCCGATTGTTTTCGGGGTGCATCGATTTCGTAGTCGATCCACTACAGTCAAGCCGCGCAGTAAGGATGGGCAACCTCCGGAATGGTACCCTTGCACCCTTGCCCCGTCGGCCCATCCTGAGCCACTTTCGCTGGCCAACCTCGTTCGAGAATCGTTCACGTTGGCCCCCGAGGCCATGCCGTCCTTACAGGGCTCGTTTCGATTTCCCCGGTTCGATTCGATTCGATTTCGATGGATGCCGAATCCGATTCGATTCGACTTGGGATTCCGATTTGTGTTCCGATTGCTTATTGGACGCGTACTAGCCCGCCGATTTCCGCCGATTCGACTTTTCTCGACTCGGCTGCCGATTTCCGCCGATCCGATTCATTTCGATCGCCGATCCGACTTAGCGATTCGATTCTGGGCTCTCCGGTCCTTACCGCGCATCCTTATGACACGGGCTGACTGCCCCCGAAGCAGGGCAGGAGCGGGCGCGGCAGGCGCAGCGGCTCCACGAGGAGGGCCGCGGCGGGGAGTGCCGCACGGCCTGGGGCTGTCATGCCTGCGGCGCCTCCGCGCGCCCTCTCCTGCATGCCCAGGCTGGGTATGTCGCCGAGGCTGCCTCCTCCTTCTCCTCCTCCCTCCTCCTCCCTCCTCCCTATCCCTCCTCCCTCCTCCTCCCCCTCCTCCCTCCTCCTCCCTCCTCCTCCTCCTCCTCCTCCCCTCCTCCTTCTCCTCCTCCCTCCTCCTCCTCCTCCTCCTCCAGGCCCCCCCTCCCCTCCTCCTCCTCCTCCTCCTCCTCCTCTTCCTCCTCCTCCTCCTCCTCCTCCTCGTCCGCCGCCGCCGCCGCCGCCGTCGGCCGTCGCCTGCATGCCAAGGCTGGTTATGTCGCCGAGCTCAAAGTTTACTCTGTTCTGGACGATGCTGGAGGCCGCCCCGCTGCCGGTCGTGGTCAGAGCGTCGTCGTCGTGTTGAGTGACCTCCTGATGGAGTGCCCAGGATGGCATGGTTCACAGGTGGCCCAGTCTTGCTATGCGTCTCAGCCATCCGCCGCGATGGGCGACTGCAAAGATGCCAAGGCGGCTCTGCCCGAGTGTTGGGCAGGGGCCTGTACAGTGGTTTTGCACTGCCTGGGGCTACGATGTGGCAGTGCAGACCGCTCTGTGACTCTGGGATTTTAAAAGCACCCTCATTATTCGATCGCTTTGGAGTCGTAGCACACTCGCCTATATCTTGGGTGTTCCAGGGCCTAATCCACTGGACTCACCTTCATTCCCAGCTTCTTCCGAACTGCTTGCGGTTAGGGTCGGCATGCTAGCCCCACGCCCCCCTGCAATGAGGCCCCTTGCTCACGTGTTGTTTCTTCGCTGTACGTTCTGTGGTGTGCAGCTTGTTGCGAGGATGATTCGCCGCATGGAGGGAGTCCGAACGTATGTCTCGAGAGCCATGCAGTAGGAGTGGCTCGGGCAGGAACTGCCACATCCTCTCACTGCCTATTCTCGAAGAAGACAAACGCCACATACATAAGCTTTTGGCGCTTCGCGCGGATATCTTAGATCCGCTCTGGGACCCCCCTCCCTAGCGCGCGGACCGTGCCAGGGGCGGCGCCGGAGGCGCCGTTGAGGGGGGCCCAGCGCAGATCCGAGAAATCCGCGCAGAGGAGCGCCAATAATTTTTGTTTATGGCGTTATGTCTTCTCCTCTATTTCTCGTGGCGCCCCGCATCCTGTGCTCAACCATCCTCATCCCTCTTATCGTCATCCTGCTCCGACATACTCCTCCCTGAACCCTGCCAAGCATCCCTCAGGCCGTCGTCGCGAAGGGACGAGGCCTTGGAGTTATACTGACGTGCGCATTCCTCCAAGCACCCACCATGTGTCGAGGTGATACCCCAGACGTGCGAAAATACCATGTCTCGACGGCAGCCCTGATGATGTGCGGGGTCAGATGCAGTCGTGCGCAGACATGGTGTTTTGTGCAGTTATGTCGTGCCCCTTGCTCTGACCATGGCGGCTTGATTCGCTCGGAGGTCGCGAGACAGTGCAGAGCCAGGACGGAGGGATGAGCAGGAGGCGAATGCCAAGAGGTCCAGGGGAACCTGGAGCAACTCTCGCATGATCTGCGGCCCCTCCTGGCACACTCCCTCGTTCACTCTCTCTCTCTCATTCTCTCTCTCTCTCTCTCTCTCTCCTTCTTTCCCTCTCTCTGATTTGCTAGATCGGCGGCGTCGGCTTGCGCTCCCCTCGCTCATCCGCCACATCCCCGCTCCGGCGCCCCCGCCCGCCCCCCCGTCCGTCCCTACGAGCACCCGTTCTCCTCCTCCCGTCGTTTCCCCCCTCATGTCCTTCGCTCCGTCACTGAACCTCATCTTTCCGCGCCTCTGCTTCGTTTCCAGAGGTGCTTCGCTTCAAATGTGCAGTCGTGATCTCGGGCAATTCGGCTGATGCCACATCAAATCCCCCTCCGCCCGCGTACGGCGTTGGAAGGGCTTGCTGCTCATGTCTGACTTCATTATGATCCCGATGACCATGTTCGACGTGCCTCCAGCCCGCTCCCGAGAGCCAGCATGCGTCTCAGCAGTGGCACGCGCGGTCCAGCAACTGCTTAGTTTCATGCACAAGTTGGTCTTCCTTATCTTCCTCCGCCTCATGTTCTCTTTCCTTTCTGTGTCATGAGTTGGCGCCGTCTGAAGTTAGGTGGGCACACGGAACACGAGCGTTGCCTTGCATATGGTGAAGTGTGATACATTAGCCAGCTCAATTAAGTGACTCAGGTTGGACATGCCATGGTCAGGCTTTTCGAGCCCAGTGGTATGCTGGCCATGTTACATGATGTCATAAGATGCCGCTCATGAGCGCAATGCAGGTGCCTGACGCATAGGCACGCAGCCAAAGCATTTTGATGCCGCGCGTCAGATGTTACATGAAATAGCTGGTGTGTGTCGTTAATTTCGAAGAGCTGCAGCCCGCAGAGCACAATGTCGCCCTCTGGCTTCTTGTTAGATTTTGTGCCGTCCAAGCAATCCTTCCGTTCAGCCAGATGCTAGAACCTCAGAGCATTGGGTTATTTCTCAAGTTCTCGCATCGTGCGTTCCCTTTGGCGGGGTTTGTCGTAGTTCGTTATGTGCGCAGCTCAATGCTGTCCTTGTGCGTTTCTGCACGTTCGAATCGCTAGAAAGAACGCTCTCCAACGCCAGGATGCGGACGTACGGACATTTGGCGTCTCACCGTGGAGCGACATCTCGCTCGTGCAGAGATGGTCCCTTATTTATTGTGTTCTGCCACTTTCGAGCTTGTCGATTTCGTTTTGCTTGCCAGTGCGTCACTTGCCCTGGGACATCGTCTGTTGAACTAATCGAAGGCGCCTGCGGCGAATCACCACCGCCCCCTGCCTGTTAGAATCGCCCATGCGGCCGAGCGGTGTGGCAAGAGCTCTGCCAAGCTATCGGACCATGTGTTTCCCCAGCCGTTGTGGAAACCTTTCGGGGAACACTCGGAGGGAGGATGGCTGGGAGAATCAAGAGAAGGAGGAGGAAGAGGAGGAGGAGGAGGAGGAGAAGGAGGAGGAGGAGGAGGGGGCATCTCGGGAGCCTCTGAGGGCACTCTTGGGGCCTCCTGGGAGCTTCCTGGGAGCCTCGTGGAGGCATCTTGGGGGCCTCCTTGGGCCTCTTGGGGTCCTTTGGGGACTTCTCGGGAGCCTGTTTGCCCGTCTTAGGGCGTTCCTGGCCCGTCTGACGCCGTGGGAAGCCGTCTTGGGGCCCTCCTGGGGTGCTCCGGTGCCGTCTTGGAGACCATCTTGGGCGTCTTGGAGGCCATTTTGGTCGACTCGGAGGCCTCGTTGGGCCGTCCAGGGGGCCTCTTCGGCTGTTCTGGAGCCACCTTCGAGGCCTCTTCGGCGAACTTGGGGCGATCTTTGGGAGCTCTTGGGCCGTCTCGGGCCGTCGGAAGGCCGAAAAGAAACGCATGCTAGAATCCTTCGAACACCGCTTCTTCGGGTCTCTTCGGAGCACTCTCGGGCGCCTCTTGCGAGCGCTCTCAAGGGCCTCTCGGGAGCCTCTCGGGGGCCTCTTAGGGGTCTCTTGGGGCGCCTCTTGGGCGCCTCTTGGGGCCTCCTGGGGCCTCCTGGGGGCCCCTCTGGGCCGAGGGCTCGAAATGTCTGTTCGGGTTCCTCATCTGGTCCCCGTTTTTGGGCCGTCTTGGGGCCCTCTTCGGCGCCTCTTGGGCCGTTTTGGGACCCTCTCGAGGGCCTCTGGGGCCGCCTTGGGGCGATCTTGGGGGCCTGATGGACCGTCGTGCAGCGTCGGGAAGCCGAGAAGGCGAGAACGCAAACACCCGTCAAACGCCAAAGGAATATGACGGATGCGTGCCTCCTGGGGCCCCAGGGGCCGTTCAAATCTCCCCAGGTGTGTTGCCCGTCTTGCCCTGGACGAGTTTATGGAATTCGCATGCCCCGCAGGCGATTCTCTGCCGCGCGAGGGCGCCCGAGCAACCTGGCCTCGGGAGGCCCCGAGACCCGACACGTCCACCGCCCCCGGGGGCAGGCGCGGAGCCCACACGGAGAGGGTGCCCGACCGATCATTGTGTTGTCTGGACACAGCTCCGGGCAGAGGCCATTGAAGCACTCGGCAACGGTCTACGGTGCCTTGCAAGAGCTTCTGGTTCGGGGGTGGACAGAACCCCCAACAGTGACACGTCGATTAGTGCATTGTCCGTTTTCGGTTCTCGAGAGGGCGCCGTGGCCGTTATTTTCGAGGCTTGCGCCCGCCAGGTTTGGGCCTCAGGTCGTTTTCACTAAACCACGTTTCACTAAAGGGGGGTCTGTCCATCCCCGACTGGTTGATGCTGGGCAGTTGCGTGCTGCCGCGTGGGAACGCCTCCAGTCCGCGCGTGCCTCAGCACCGGCACCCGCTGTGGGCTTGCGCGTGCTTCGTGATGGCCTGGCTTTTAGCGGAAGAGGTTCGCTCTCGCCCCGCAGAATCAAAATGTGTGTTTCGTGCTTGCCTGTGGGAGACACGAACGTCCCCAGGACCCAGGGAACAGCCCAGGAAGGATCTCCGGGACCATCATGGGCCACGCTGGAGCAATGGACTTCGGACCACGTCCCGAGGCGACGGGAACGCCGCGCGACGGAGTCCATGGCCGTGCGAGAGCGCCCCGTAGGCTCTCGTGGACTGGGGGTTTTCGAGGCCACTCCGTGGCATTCACGGCGTGCAGTACTGGGCACGAGGGCATTTCACCCAGCGCCTGCGGCCCTGGCGTACGGTAGAGGGAAACAATGGCTTAACACACATTCCCCCCTCCCCCCCGAACTCAACGTTGGCACGCGCGGGGGGCACCGCGGTCGAAGTGCACCTCATCAGACCCACCGCCAATTTTGAGCATTGGGGGGAGGAGGAGGCGTTGACGGATGAATGTGGCATGAGTGTTCGCTAATTTGTTCCGAGGCCTGTATGTTCAGCGAGAGAGTGTTTTGTCCACTTATATGGCTGGTCGCTCGACGATGGCCCCCACGGGATGCCGCGTGCTCGATCGATGACTTGCGTGGTATGCAAGTGTAGTCCCCACGTATGTGGGTGTACATGGGTATACGTACGTTTGTGTTGCACGACTTGACATTACGGGCCGCTATGTTGCGTGGCGCGGGGCGTCGAGCTCGAAGATTTGAATGTGAGTATGAGTGAGGATGAGCAGGAGATGGAGTAGGATCTCTCTCGAAGGGTGTCCATCGTCTTCTGGTCGTTGGACTTCCCGATGTCGTTCTTCAAGGGCTACATCGACAAGAATGGCGAGCGGGTGTTGCGACCGAAAAAGGCACGCAGCCATCGTTTGTTGACTTGAGCGACGAGCAGGAACATCATAAGAAGCACGAGAGGTGAGAAGGATCGTGAGGAGAAGCGAGAGCGAGAACCATGAGAATCAGGAATGCTCATCCCAAGGACGGGGGGCGGGAACGCAGGGGCGATGGGCGATGGCGGTGGCCTCTGCCACTACTCAGCTCTAGCCCTCCGCCGCGAGCCTGGGCGCGCGGTGAGCGACGCTCAGAGTGTTGTCCATGCCGGGGTCTGGCCAGCCGCTCTTTCACTTCATCCTCGGCTAGGATGGAGGGCCCAGGGTGAAATCCATGTGGGCTTCTGCGCCTCGATCATCAATCGAATCGGACGAAGAGAACTATGCACATGCACCGTTCCTGGCCAGGCCCATCCTTGGCCCCAGGATCGGTGCACGCGCCCTCCTGGCCAAGGCAGGAGGACGTGTGCACCGATCTTGGGCCCAGGACGGACCTGGCCAAGATCGGTGCACGTGCAGTGTTCTTCGTTCTCGATCGAAACGGCACGCCAGGTTTCACCCTCTGCCCTCCGCCCAGAGAGAGTGCTCGGTTCTTGCGGCGGGCTGCGCACCGCGGCGGCGAGCCGGCGAGGCCAAGATCTGTGTATGTGCATGGTTCTTTTTACCCCAGATTTCGTAATACAAGGGAGGGGGTCTGGACCCTCCAAGACAAGCCATTTCAGACCTCCCCCGTGGGAGAACCCTCCAAAACATCGTCCCCAGACCCCCCCCGTCCCTCCAAGATGGCCTGGAAGAGACCCCCCGCCCCGACATGAGACCCCCCTCCCTTCTATTACGAAATCTGGAGTACCCCATCGAAGCGGCATGCCAGATTTCACCCTCTGCCCCCCCGCCCGCAGTCAGAGCCCCGAATCATCAGGGGTAACTCGGGTCAGGGATAACTCGGGTTCGTTTTTCGGGAGTCCGAACCCGAGTTATCCCGGACCCGAGTTACCCCGGATAACTCGGGCGTCCAGAGCCCCGAATCATCAGGGGTAACTCGGGTCAGGGATAACTCGGGTTCCTTTTTCGGGAATCCAAACCCGAGTTACCCCGGACCCGAGTTACCCCGGATAACTCGGGCGCCCAACGCAGAGAAGCTGCTCGGTCCCTCCCGGCGGGTGTTCTGCGCACCTTCGGCGGCGAGCCGGCGGGGCCCCTCTGCAGCCCCCACGGGGGCTGCGGCCGTGGCCGAGCGGGGGAGGCGTCTTCGGGGCGCCTTCGCGGCCGTCGCCCCCGGCTTCCCTGAAGTCGGGCCGGGTCCCCTACAGGGGGATTTTCGACGAGAAATATTCAAGATACCCCCAAACATGCCCCCAAAAAGGCAACAAAAATACCCAACAAATAGTCCCCAGGCTATTTTTGGACTATGTTTGGATTATTTTTTGGCTATTTTGTTTTTTTTTATGTCGAAAATCCCCCTGCAGGGGGACAGGCCCGACTTGAGGCTTCCCACGGCGTCGCGGTCCAGGCCGCGGGTTCTCCGCGCGGTCGTCACGCCTTCGGCCCCGAGGAGCTGCTCTTTCGAGTGCAGTTGGTCCCCGTACTCGCTCTGGTGCGACGAGGATGGGGCAGAGCACGGGAGGAGGAGGAGGCGAGACGCATGAGGGAGCAGAGGCAGGAGGGAAAAGACAGCAGGCGAAGGAGGACGAGACGCGAACGGGAGAAAGGGAGGGATAGCGAGAGAGAGAGAGAGAGAGAGACAGCGACAGAGATGGAGATACAGATCCAGATCGAGATAGAGAGAGAGAGAGAGACCAAAAAAAAAGAGAGACATCGAGTGAGAGGGAGAGGGAGAGTGGCACTGGACAGGTTGCACGTGACGCTCAGGACGTACTGGGGGGGGCACTCCGGGGCTCCGCGCGGCCCCCCCCCCCCGGGGGGGGCCGTCCTGGGGCTTCCCGTGGGGGGGGGGGGGGCCGCCGTGGAGCCTCTGGGGGCCTCTGGGGGCCTCCGTCCAGGGCCGGGGCCCGAGTGCCGCCTGGCGGCCCAGTGTCTGGACGCCCGACATGGGCACGGAGAGAATGGGTACAAGGCCCAACAGCAGCTCCTGTTCATTTGGAAGAGGACTCGCTGTCCGCACCGCCGCGGCCTGTGTCCATTTGAGGCAGAAGGCCGCCTGCCCAACAGCGGCCGCTGTTGGTTGGGGACAACATTTGCTGTTGGGCATTGTGCCCATTCTTTCCGTACCCGTTTCGGGCGTCCAAGCAGTGGACGCCACCCTTCTCCGGCCGTCGAGGCGGGGAGTCGCTGCTGAGCGCGGGGTGCGCCTCTTGCCTCGAGTCGGGCCCGGCCCTCTGCCGGAGGAAGGTTCCAGGAAAGATGGAGTCCGGGGCCGGTGGCTGGATCCTCCTGCGGCCCTCCTGGTGCACAGTTTTTGGCTATATGCTTTGGCTTCTCGCCCAAAACCCCTCCTCCTCCTCCTCCTCCTCCTCCTCCTCCTCCTCCTCCTCCTCCTCCTCCCCTCCTCCTCCTCCTCCTCCTCCTCCTCCTCCTCCTCCTCCTCCCCCCTTGTGGGGGGGGGGGCACGCCCGACTTCGTCCTGCAGAGGGGGCGCGCCCGACGTCGTCCCTGCCGCGCGAGGCCGGAGAGGGCTCTCCGAGAGGTGCGGCGGGCGGCGCCGCGGGGGCCCGGTCGCCGTGCGGCCGCAGGGGGCCGCCCGGTGCAGCACCCGGGCAGTGGCGAGGCGTCCCGGCGCGCCTATGGTCCCACCATCGGGGGAGAAAAAGGTACGGATACGTGTTGTCCCCCTTCGTTTTCGGCCTTTCCTGGTCCTCCTGGGGAATCCTCGTTGTCACCGCTGGATTCGCCTCGAAATTCTGGTCAGAACGCACCCCAAGAGAGGTCCAGGGACAACACGTATCCGTATCTTTCCGCCCCCCAACACCAAGCAATCGGGGGCGGAAAAGAGCACATGCCGCCGGTCATGAGTTGCACCCCCCTCTCTCTTGGACCCCCCCCCCTTGGCCGCTCCCGGAACAGTGTGCTGAGAGCCTCCTTGCGGCTTCCACGGAAGGCTCTGAGAACGTGTCTGGCGGGGGCCGTCTTGTTGCAACCCACCGGGTCGAGGTGCTAAGAACATTGCTCTTGTTCTTAGACCTGGCATCGCTCGGACGTGTGCGTTTTATTCCTCGGCGAGGACCATCGGGGAGCATCCTTGACCATTTGGCGAAAAAACCACGCACGACACCGAGAAAAACACAGGGAATGGACGTCCGAGCGATGGCGAGCAGAACGTCTTCGGGTTCTGGGAACACTTCGAAACACGCGGTTTGGAAACGGGGGCGGGCCGCGGCACCGAGCGGCGAGGAGGGCGTCTCGCGGGAGGGCGCGGGCGCGGGCCCTCGGCGGCGTCGTGGCCAGGTTCGGGGGAGCTCGTCGGTCAGGGGTGAGGAGGGGAACACACACAGACACACACAGACACAGTGAAGCGTCGATTCCCCAGAAGATATACGGGAAAATGTGGGCAGGGGGGGGGGGTAGACAAGAACCCAGAGCATCTGGGAAGATCTGGGGAATCTTTTCACTTGTGTGTGTGTGTGTGTTTGTTTGTGTGTCCTGGGGCCCCATCAAGGGGTTTTATCCGAGGGTGGGGTTTTGGGAACGGAGCCATTTGGACGTTCACGCTTCCTTCTTCCAGGGGTCGTCTACACGGGCTTTCCTCCAACAGCACTTCTGCCCCTGCCGCACCTTTACGTCCACCCTAACAGGGTGGGCCAGGACGATTGAGTTGATCGTTCTGTCGCGCTGCTTCTGCGCCCCAACTTGGCACATGTGATGTGGTTGAGCCAGTGATGGGTATCCGACCGCCAGGTCGCCTTGAAGTACGTGGTCTCCGGGGCCCCGCTGGACATCCCGCTCCTGGTTATAGAACACGTGAGCCCTCTCTGATTGTTTTTGTGATCTCTCATCAGTGCCTCCTTTATGATTAATGCTCCGTCTGCTCACTGTGACATGGCCAAATCTCTGGTATGTGCATTAAGCCCCTCGCGTGATCCGCACCAAAGTGTGGACGTCCACCCAGCAGCTCCAATATATCTATATCTATATATATGTGTGTGTGTACACATGTTGTCAGAATGGTCGAGGGCCTCTTCTGAATTCGCATGGTTCGATGACTACCGCCTGTCGGTCTAACGCCCGTCCGCTTTTCTGCACGCCTCCCTCAGGCAATTCGGTGGACTTTCGTAAGCCTTCGACGCGGCAGGGTCGTTTGAACTTGATTCAAGCAGTCTGGCTATTGATTCTGAAGACCGTAGCGCAAGGCCCACTGACCGAAATGGACTAAGAATTGTGCCAAAATCGGAACCAGAAGTGGAACCCGACAAACAATGTAACGGAGCCGGAAAAAAACAGCGACGGAATCGGAGGAAGAAATGAAACAAGGAAGCCACCTCTGACAGACGGCAATGCCGCATCTCACGTCAACATGAGCCTGGGACGCGCAATGCTCAACCCTGCCCCTGGCTTAAGATCTGCGCGAGCAGGTCATCCGCAGAAAGCTCGGCCACGTGCAGACAGGGATAGGGGCAGGGGCAAGGGGGGAGATTTCTTGGAAGCACCCCTGCTTCTTAGAAGGCGTGGGCCCTGTCTGTAGATGTAGGGCCGGCGCCTTCTATGTAACAGAAGCAGCCTCATTCTAAGACGCCTGCCGCCCTCCCCCTTCCTACTTGTGCGTGCTGCTAGGGAGCGACAGGAGGTGGTCAGAGCGTACTCAGGCGCCCCCCTGTGACCACGGCGCGGCTCCGCTTTCCTGTGCCCTGTCTCCCAAATTAAAGCTGTGCGTAGCCCGCCTAGCTTTTAGCGGAAGAGGTCTGCTCTCGCCCCGCAGATCCAAAATTGTGACCGCGGCGCGCGACGGGAGAGGGGACGCCGCAGAAGTTCAGGAAGCAGCGGGTGTGAGGCAAGGATGGTCTTGAGATCTCGGCCGCAGCCAGGGTAGCCAGAGGCTGCGTGCGCGGCAGCTGGGATCAGGATTGGCCTGC